GAGACACTACCGTGTCTCCAGATATTCTTTAAATTTTAATTGACTCCTTTCTTTTATTTATTGATCTATATTTTTAATTCTTATTAATGGTGCAATAATGTATGTTTTGTATGTATTATTGAATACATTCCTTATAAGCGCATAATAAATATACATTTAATATTCTCAAAATATGCTTAAAATATTAAATAATATTATGCGCTTTTGGTTATACGACATCAATCTTTTATATAATTTCAAAATTTCTATTAACTTATCCCGCTGTGTACTCTATACGCAATTATTTTCTTTACGGAAAGAACCGAGAAGCAAACGTGGTAAGTTTTACGAATACGCATAAATTTTTCCAAAAATGAATTTTTCTATCCTTGGGAAAAAAACCGAAAAAATTCGTGGAAAAATTGGGTTTTTTTCCGATCCTTTAAAATATATAGTTTAAACTGACAGTGTTTTTGCGTTGCTATGTGTGCATACGTCGTTATGTACAAGATGGTGTATTTCAGTCATTGCGCAGAACGTGACGAAACTGCGTCCGAGAAACGAGCATATCTTTATACTTCCATCTTTCCATTACCGAGACAAGATCGAGACCAGATCGAGATGATATCAATTGAGTCGAGACCTGATTATCGAGGCTTTTCCGAGACGAGATCGAGGTTAATCCAAATTTCGTCTCATCTCGGAAAAATGAAACACTAATTGTACAACATAGGACTACCAGATTCTAATGAATAAAACAGAGTTTATTTTACCTATTTTAATTTCTTAGAGTGAATAAATCAAAAACTTACAATGTTTCAACAGCGATTAATTACATTGTTATAATGCGGTGTTCTTACAAGAAAAGAATATTACGCAGATAGAAGAACTTCTCAGATGGTACGAAAAATATTTAAGAACGTAAGTATAATGTAGCAATGACAATGTCAGCATTACGAGACGGTATTTATATATAATTGATGGAAAGGAGAGCGAAAGTGCTAGGAGGGAGTAAAATATTAGTGGAAGGGAACTATTTTTTAATAAGAGATAGAAAAATGTCTGGAAAGCGCAATGTACGAGGGCAAGTCAATAAGTTCTTAGAAAATCTGTCAGAGGGCACTCGCAGCGTCATGTCACATTACTTTTTGACAAGTAGCATCTTTCAGCTGATTACTGTCAAATTTTGAACGGAATTCATCGCGTGGTTTCATTTCTGTAGATGATTAAAGCAAACAACCTTTGTATTTTTTGCAAAATGGAAAAAAACGAGTTTTGTGCAGTGATCAAACATCTACATATGAAAGATTTAATGCCGAAAGAAATCAAAGCCGAGCTGGATAATGTTCATAGCACATCTGCACCAGCATTTGCGACTGTATACAATTGGATGAATAAATTTAAACGTGGTCGTACATCCACATGTGATGCACCTCGTTCGGGACGTCCAATTGAGGCTGCTACGCCAGAAATCATCGATAAAATCCACGATATTGTTTTGACTGATCGACGAGTGAAAGTGCGCGGGCTTGTTGAGGCCACAGGTATATCACATGGCACAGTGATTTCAATTTTGCACGAATTGAGTATGAAAAAGCTATCGGCAAGATGGGTGCCGCGTTTGCTCACTGTGGATCATAAGCGCGATCGTGTGACGATTTCAAAACAATGTTTGGAGATGTTTCAACGTAATCCAGATAAATTTCTGCGTCGATTCATTACTGTGGACGAAACATGGATCCATTATTTCACCCGAGACGAAGGAACAGTCAAAACAATGGACTTCACCGGGTGAACGAGCTCCGAAGAAGGCGAAGACCGTGAAGTTCGGCCGGAAAAGTGATGGCCACAGTTTTTTGAGATGCACACGGTATAATTCATATTGATTACCTTCCGTCGAAGCAAACGATCAATGGTGATTACGCAGCCTTATTGAACCGTTTCAACAACATTTTAAAGAAAAAACGTCCCCATTTGGTGAAGAAGAAAGTGCTCTTCCATCGAGACAATGCACGGGTTCACACGTGCCCGGCACCGATGGCCAAATTCAACGAATTCCGCTACGAATTACTTCCCCATCTAGCATATTTGCCAGATTTAACTCCCTCCGACTATTTCCTGTTTCCAAACCTGAAGAAATGGTTTGGAGGAAAGAGATTCACCAGAGAGCAGCTCATCACCGAAACAGAAGCTTATTTTGAAGGGTTGGACAAATCATATTATTCGGACGGCTTGAAAAAGTTGGAGAATCGTTGGATCTAGTGTATCGAGCTGAAAAGAGACTATGTTGAGAAATAAAAATGAATCGATAAAAAAAAATGTGTTTTACTATGTTTTTCTAAAAACTTATTGACTTGCCCTCGTATCATTTTGTTTGTTTAAACCTAAATCTTGTTTCTTTATGTGTATCATCTCTGACACCTTTTATAGTATGATACTTCTGAATCAAGAATTTTTGTGTCATCCCAATCAAACTTATGATCCTGTTCTAGTTGATGCTGGGAGACAACGGTCATTTCAGTAGAAGGCTTTTTTATGTTGGCTTTGGTTGTTCTTTTAAGCGAGTGTTAAGTTTATGTTTTGTCTGGCCAACATATGAAGCATTGCAACCAGAACAATTTATTTGGTAGACAACATTTGATTGGTCTTCTTTTTTTAATTTATCTTTTCCAGTTTTTATGAAACAGTTTAAAGAGTTCATAGGTTTGTAATTATTTTTAAATAATGGATATCCACTAGAATTTCTTTTTTCCATCATCAATAACAGAATAAAGGCACTGTCTTCTAAAAATAATTTTGATAACATTAAAATTCATAAGGATGTTTTCATCTCTAATTCCATAAAAAAATAGAAGGTTTTTTTACTGTTCCATATTTTTAAAATGTTTCAGAAATTTAAAAAAATTATAACACATATTTAACTTTAATATAATATTACAAACCTATGAACTTTTTAAACTGTTTCATAAAAAATCATAATCACCAGCTTCCTCCACAGGCCTTCTCCCGTGTATTTCCAAACCTCCATTGGTATCCCATTCGTTCCTGACGCCTTTCTTACTTTCATCTTATTTTCAGCTCCTTTCCTTTTTCCTCTTTCCGTTGTTCTGTCTGTTGTCTATCTTGTTCTCCTTCTCTTCCATCCAGTAACTCCATAAAATATCTTCTCCATTCATCTTTCTTTATGTTGTTTTCCTTCTATATCCTCTTGCCTCTTTTCTTATTTATAAATTTCCATATATCCGCTTCCCTTTTCAGCTTTCTGAATTCCTCTTTCTCTTCTTCCCTTTTTTCTTTTTGGTTCTTCTCCATCAGGTCTTTAAACATTCTTTTCTCCTCCAAGTACCTCACTCTTCCTATTTTTCCTTTTCTCCATCTCATGTACATCCTCTTCACTTCCCTTTTCTTCTTTGTGCAATTTTTATCCCACCAATCCTTATATTCTATTTTCTTCCTTCTTCTTTTTATCTTTTTTTTCCCCCAGACCTCCTGTATCTGTTTAATCTCTTCCCATTCTTCCTCTATCTTATACTCCCCGTCTTTCTTATTTTCTTTTCCTCCAATTCTTCTGTTCTGGCCTTGAAGTTTCTTATCGCTTCCTCTATCCATATTATAATCTCTTCTTCCCTTTCCTCTTCTTGTGTCCCACTTTGCTCTTCATCTTTCCTCCTGTTTCTCTGTCTTGCATCTTCTTCTTCTTCAATCTTTACATAGAGGCAAGTGATCTGAGTCCACTCTTACATCAATCCTAAATTCGACGACTTTATCATATACATTTTCATTTACAATCGCATAATCAATTACAGAACTACCTCTTAATCCTACATATGTATATTCGCCTTCCCAATCTCCTGTAGTTCTACCATTAGTACATGCCACCCATTTTCTATCACCTTTCCAACCAATCCTCTCCCTCCATTGCTTATTCCTTTATCCTTACTACTCCTATCCTTACCTCCCGTTTCTATCTCGTCTCTTCCCATCTCACCTATTCTTACATTAGAGTCCCCTCCTATTATTAAATCCCTCCCCTCTTTTTCACTCTCCTCTAACTTTATTCTTTTTAATTTGTCTTCCAAATTTTTACCTCCTTGCTCTCCATATATCGAAACTATAACTATCCTCGAATTCTCACGTTCCATTCCGATATAATCATTCCTTCTTCTTGGAATTTTTAATTATATCACTTCCGTTTTTCCCCCAATCCTTCCTTTTGCCTATTATAAAACCTCCTTTGGCACTACTTTTCTTTTTTTCTCTCTTAGCGAAGCTACATTTTCAATCATGTGTTTTGGGTAATCTATTCCTTATTCTCCCCCATCCATGTTTCACTTAAACTTACAAAATCGAAACTTCTTACATATCTTCAAAAGTCCATATCCTTACCTCCCAACCCCGCCACATTCCAAAAGAGAATCTTTCTCTGACTTGCTTCTTTCGACCTTCCCTCTCTATTCCTATCCTTTTCCTTCCTAACTCTCCTTCCTAACCCTCCCCTTTTGTACTTTCTTCTCGCCTTCTTTCTCCACCGACCGCGTCCCAGTGAACATTTATGTCTAATAGACAATCCGAAGACGTCTTAAAAAAAGATGGCTTTAAAACGTTTACAAAAAGACGTCTTTAAGATAACTTTTAGCCAAGTCCTAAAGGCAGTTCTTTTTAAGATGTCTTTCGGGCGTCCTTTTCAGGATGGCTTTAAGATTTTACAAAAAGATGTCTTGAAGAAGACTTTTGGTCAAATCCTATAAAGACGTCTTTTTTAAGATTTTTAAGTTTTTTGGACATGTCTGTTTAAGACATTTTTCAGAACAAGAATAAGATAATGTTTTATAATAATTCATACATCAGCATATGTTACGTACCTGAGTAATGAGTAATCGTGCATAAAAATAATAAGATATGTACCTAATTTCCGGTTTTATCGGTGTTTGGTGTCATTTTTTAATTACGTAGCTATTTATAGCTATATCATATCTTCCGATTTTCCGATGGATGACCGCATGTTTAATCAACTTTAATCAGAAGTGATTCTTTGTTGTATTAAAAATATATTATATAAAATATATATTAAACACAATTACTATAAATGTCTGCATAATATTTTTTACAAATATTTCATATTTTACAAGAAAGCATTTATAAATTTGAGGTTGTTGCTAAAAGTCATTGCTCCAATTATATTATTTTTTAATGCAAAATTCTGATGTTACAGCTTTGTTATTGTATCAGCAATAATAATCAGATTGTTTTCGATGCGTGAGCCCTCGCTGCTGGTGTTTGACAGCTTTCGCGAAAAGCCATCGTTAAAGGAGCAAATGCGCTTTACTATAACTTGTAATCAGTGGATCGCAAAAGTCTAGAGTGCTAGCTGTACTGAAAACATATTCATGAATACCATTAGCACAAAGTCCAGATAAGGTATGTCCATGCCAAATCATGCCATATCCCAAGCGAAAACCAACGAGAACATCACGATTTCTACGAGCAAGGACGTATATAATGATAAGGATAGCTTCACGGAGTGATTATAATAATCGTTGTACGTTTGGTAGGAGCCGTTATGGTAGAACAATAAAGTTCAAATCCATCATTAACAATGTTATGGACATTCTACAGGTATACATTGTATATTCTTTATGCTTTTCTGTATAACAAAGCATCCATGTAACGTTGCTATATTTCTGTCGACTGTGTATATAAGTTTCATCAAAGTACACAATATTTATGAAATTTGATCTTAAATATAGTTTTTAATGTTTACGTACCAATAATACTTATCAAGAAAGGTTTAATAATAAATATTAAATAAATTATGTTTATAGTGTCCGAGATTTATCAATTTTTTTAAGTATTTTAAAGCTTGTTATTCGTTGATACTTGTGTATAAGTGGTACATAGTGGCGTTATTGAGGACGGAAGATTTCTAGATTTTTCAAATAAACAACGCCGCTCTATGTCCTAATACGAGTATCTACGAAAAACTAATAATTTCTAAGATCTTGTCTCAATCTACATATATAGATTTTTGTAAAAGTTTTTCCGCCAGGGTAATGAAATTTATTGATAATATGGATAGAAGCCTAGATGAAATTAATTCAGCCAACAACATACGAGGGGCACTACTTATATTTTGAGCCTTGGCAACACTGAGTGTTGTCAGGTGCCATCTGACGTTTCCACTAGAAAGTTTGACATTTTTGACCATAACCTTCTTCAGAACGTTTTGTTATTTGAGCGCGATTTGTATTGTTTACAGTCACTTGAAAATTGTGTCTCAGCGAAAAAATGGAATTAACTCGTGAAAATTTTCGTGCAATGATTTATTACGACTTTCGACGTAGATTATCAAGACAGGAGTGCATCGATCAACTTACTTCCACTTTTGGCGATAAAGCCCCATCCTTTGCCACTGTGAAACGCTGGTATAACGATTTTAATCGTGGTCGTCGTTCGCTCACCGACGAAAATCGTGAAGGTCGTCCAAAATCAGTTGTGTCAGAAAACATTGATGCTGTGCAAAAACTAATAATGCAAGATCGTCATGTGACATACTGTGAGATTGAGACAACCTTAGGCATTAGATCCACCAGCATATATAAAATATTGCATGATCATTTAGCCGTGAAAAAGGTTTGTTCTCGTTGGATCCCACATAATCTGACAAAATCTCAAAAAGATGTTCGTGAAAAAATGCTTTGACAAGTGATTCGAATGCATGCAAAAGTGTATAGATCATAAAGGAGAATATTTTGAAAAACAATAGTCATTTTCAATGACAAATTACTGTTTTTTTATTATTAGGCTCAAAATATAAATAATGCCCCTCGTACATGAAGTCAGTGATTCGTTTCCGTTCAATAATATACAGGAGAGTCTATTTCTGAAGGTAATTATCCTAGTACGGAATGCTCATGAATAATGGAATAGCTAGCATGGGCAAGAATCGGTAATTTTCTATTTTGGTCTTATATAATCACAATTAATCCGACACCAAGAATATATTACAAATTGAGAAATCAATTTTTAAAGCTCTTGTATATTCCCAAACAACACAAAGTGTGTATATTCCCAAACAATCCAAAATCGAGACAAGACGTCTTTAAGATGTTTTTTAGATGCCAAAGATGTCTTATGTCTCAATTTTAAACTTTATGTTTTCTGGGTTTCTTCATGTATACTTTTTTTCACTAACATTTGTATTTAAAAAACGTTGTTCTTAAATATGTATAAATATAACAATCTAAAATTACATTTCTATTAAACAATATAATTATGTTTAACAGAAATATTACATAGCATATGTATATAGTTAATATAGTTATATTTATACATACGAGGGCAAATCAATAAGTATCCGTGTTAGTAATGAAGACGCAAGATTTTCACAAAACTTTTTTTTATTTTTCAACGTAATCCCCTTTTAGGAGGATACACTTTTCCCAACGTTTCTGCGATTTTTTTAACCCCTCCGAAAAATACGATTTGTCGAACTCTGCAAAATAGGTCTCTGTTTCGGCAATGACCTTCTCATTCGATGTGAATCTTTTTCACCGAGTCATTTTTTCAAGTTTGGAAACAAGAAGAAGTCGCAGGAGGCCAAATCCGGAGAGTACGGTGGATGCGGCAGCAATTCGTACGGCAATTCGACCAATTTGGCTGTGGCGACTGCGGAGGAGTGAGCCGGTGCATTGTCCTGATGGAACAACACTTTTTTTTCGCCAAATGGGGCGTTTTTTCTTCAATTCAACATCGAATCGGCCCAATAAGTCATTATAGTACTGCCCCATGATAGTTTTGCTTTTCCCCATGTAGTCGATGAACATACGCCTTGCGCATTTCAAAAAACAGTGGCCATCACTTTTCCGGCCGATGGGATCGTCTTGGCCTTCTTCGGAGCATGTTCGCCGGATGAAATCCACTGTTTTGACTGTACCTTGGTCTCCGGTGTGTAGTAATGAATCCATGTTTCATCAACGGTTACTCGACGCAAAAACACCTTCGGATTGCGCTTGAACAGCTCCAAATATTGCTTTGAAATTGATAGCCGCATTCGCTTGTTGTCCACCGTGAGCAATCGCGACACCCATCGGGCCGACAGCTTTTTCATTCCTAAATTATCAGGCAAAATATTGAATGCCGTTCCATACGACACGCCTATGGCCTCTGCTACTTCACGCACTTTCGTTCGGCGATCAGCGAGAATCATGTCGTGGACTTTTTCAACGATTTCCTCAGTAACCACGTCTGCCGGGCGGCCTGGGCGCTCCTCATCAAAAACAGACGAACGACCACGTTTGAATTCGTTGAACCAATATCTGACGGTTGTCATAGATGGTGAAAGGTTCCCATAGAAGGCATCCAACTTCGTTTTTATTTCTTCGCACGTTTTTCCATCCAAAAATAAAAAGCGAATCACGGATTGATATTGTTCTTTTTCCATTGTATCGGAAAACATTAAACACTCTCACTACGAATTGCTGTCAAATCACAGTATATACAGTAGCGCAACTCTCTGTCGGTACCTTTGATGTTAGTGTTGGCCAAAATGAAATGCGCATGCGCGAAATAAGCAAATTACCTAGCGTAAACCTAGCGTTCCTATGGTTGCTATCTGAACTTCTTTCTCTTTTCATCCTTCTTTCGCTGTGTTAAAACTCATTATATTTATTCGCGTCGCATTTCAATGAATGCGTTGGAGTGAGTAAAAGCTATTGTAGGAGCATATTGGAGCATGCAACGCGAATAAACCCACTATTGCAATGAAATAATCTAAACTTAATGAAAATTAATAAAAATAAATTGTAAATATATTGAAAAATAAGGAAAAAATATAGAAAAATAAAAAAAAATATTAAATCACCTTCAAAACATATATTTATATAGAGAAATATTACATAATTGTAAATATATGCTAGGTATCAAAATGTTATGAGTTGATATAAAAGAAAATTTAGGTTTCTCGAGGTTTCTCACACAACACTTCATCAAATAGACAATGCACGTTGTATTTCCCTCAAAATTTATACTCTCAACCGCTCTCAACTCTTTAAATGGAACATTGAAACGGTTATTTAAATAGAGAGAGAGAAGCAATAAAGAAGGAGGAAATGAGACGGGGCAACTTACTTATTTCACGCATGCGCATTCCGTTTTGCCCAACATAAAATCAGAAGAGTTGCGCTATTGTATATACTGTGGTCAAATCAAGACTATTGCATGAATCACTCTGAAATTTTGTATGGCGTCATTTGAAATATGGTAGTACATGATGATAATGCCAACTTGCATCAGCAACGTCACCTGTCTTCAAACACGGGTACTTATTGATTTGCCCTCGTATATATAAATATTATTTAGAAAATGTATTAATGGATGTAAAATGTTGAAGAATGTTTTCATTATTTTCATAATATTCATTGAATTTAGATAAATCTGATGAGCAAGTTGAGGACGAGATATTCAAATACATTGATTGTTTATCTGGAACAGCACCTGCATGTTTTGTGTACTGTGTGAGAATCGCTGTTTCGATCTCACGTGGTGGAATGAATTGGTAGACTGGACGAGCAGGACACTGAGAACTCCAATTATATGTTATCTTGTATAAACTTTATTCAGTAATGCTTCTCCACTGCGTTTCGTCAACGTGGCACAATGAATTTGAAAATGCGCGATTAGCGGTATTTAATTCGGCGATACTTAAGCACGGCGGTAGCCGGATTGAGAGAGACGAGAATAGCGTGTTGCGGTAGCGAACACGTAGAAAGAAGGTGCTGCTTTCACAAGTTCCGGTAACGAGCGCGAGTATAACTCGATGTCGATGAGACCTGGCCGATCCGTGTTCACGGAATTCGCGGTAGCGTCGATTTGAACTTGCTAATCGGTAGCCCGATAACTTAATTTCGTGATGATAATGAGGCACGAATTGTCACGACGAGCGCTGAATTGTGTCTGAGGGGAGAGTCGCGTTGTCCGAAACGGCAATTTTGGATCGCGCGATTAGCGCGACGAATCGGCAGGCGACGACACTGGCGTACGCGTTGCCCAATCACGACATTTGTTGCACGCCTTCAAGATAAAAACAATAAAATAATTAAATGTTAATATGGCTCAAATAGAATAAATCAATAAATAAAACAAGGGCAAACGAGCCAACTACAATATAAGATCTTTAATAAACGTATATATACACAAAAATCAAACGTTTCGACACCGATCGGGTCATTTTCAATGTACAAAAA